TAAATTTAAAAAGTTGAACATGGATTGAATACTTAACTCTGTTCAAGAACTTGAACTAAATATGGGCTGACAGCGGTTGTGTCAGCATACACAAGACCTGTGCAAGCCAGACAAAATCCCAACATGGAGAGGGGAAGGAAACTCAGTGTCACACCCGTAGCTTAGGAGCTGTTAGTAATTGATAGCTGCTGGGAGAGGAGGAGTCAGCGTTCTTTGAGAGTTTGTCTCCTGGTAGGTTGACCACCTTCTAGTGGATGGCCACACACCAAGATTGTATGGGCAGCACAAATTGTGTTAGATTGTTTTTTAAAAGGACACAAAGTTAGATCGGTATGGAAGTGGGGGATAGACCTGGCAGAAGTTAGGGGCCAGGCTGCGAATACGATCAAAATACTCTGCATGAATTTCATAAAAACTAAAAAATTAATGAAATAAAATGAAAAAAGAAATAAAAGGAAATATCAAAAACAAAAGAAGAACTTGCATTGAGCACATTATCAATAATTTATTTAGTACATATTGTACATGCTTTCCTACAATCTTATGGGCATTATTTTCCTGTTGGAGGAAGGAACTGAAGAAGGAAAGAAACTGAGGTTCAGAGCATTTAATCGACTTGTCCAAATCTATATAGATTGGAAGTGATTGATATGAAATGTCTGGGCAGGCAGACATTAATTATTTCATTGTGGAAAAACTATTTTTCAACCAAATTTTGCTAATTGTGTCTTCAACTATAAAATTTGATACAGATGCCAAATTGGCCATTTCTGAAAGGCAAAGAAAAAGATCCTAGTGATGATGCAAGATCTTTAAAGTGATGGGACCTTCCACAGCCCAGTTGTGCACAATCCAAGGACATAAGATGCTGGGCGCTTGGGATCATCACAGACTGACCTGAGAGAGCGGCTCCAAGTTTGTTGATCATGCCAAAGAAAATTAGTAACACAGACTCTTGAGTGACTATGCAAAGCAGAAGCAGGCTTTGTTGAGAATTACTGCAGAAAAGTAAGAAATTGACTAAAGAGACATTATGGGAAAGTAAGAGAGAGTTGAGAGGAGTTTCCAAGGGAGGGAATTTCCCTTGCCTTAGGGTTTTATGGCAGAAACTGGACAAGAGTGGAAATAATTGCTCTTGAGATTGGTTAATTCTCTGAGCTATAATGGGCAGAGCCGATGGAGGGTGCAACATTCTCTGCATGACCCCTGGCTCAACCAGGGAGGTGACCATGGGCTGTTCTTGCATGCCCACCCAGTTAGAGTGGCTGAAGTCCCCCACTGCACATCTCTGACTCTGGTTTTGCTAATCTAGATCTTGACTAACAGCTACCCTCTAGTCACTGGCTGGTGTTGCTGGTGTCCCAAGGGCTGTTAATCATACTCAGCTCTCTTTGGTCTCACAGTTAGCTGGCAGCAGTAGCCGCAGAGTTCTTGGTCATCTCTTTGTTAATGGGATGGTCTAGGGTTTCTTTTCTGAATTGGAGAAAGTTCACTCGAAGTCATCCTTTCAACTTGGTCTATTATAATTAGCTGCATTAGAAGGATGTATGAAAGGCTAATAATGGCTTACATATGTTACTGAGGGCTTCAGAGGAGGGGAGACAGCTTCCCTGCTGCCACTGGCTCAGAGTCCTATCCCTTGCCCTTACCCTTCTACCCAACTGCAAGCGCTTTCATTTGTCTTCCTCCGTGTCTCAAACCTCCCCATGTTAATCCTGAACCTTCTTTTAACTCCAGCCTCTATTCTCATTGCAACTTGCAGCTTTCCAGATGGACCCTGTTCCCTCAGTATCTACAGAGGGCACTCTCCTGCCTGACTGATAGAACTCATTAACCTACACGGGTATATTACACTCAAGTCTAGAATCTGGTTTGGGTGAATTGTAGCCAGGCAGCCAGGAAGTTGCGATACATTTGAAGCACTGCAGTTCCTACGGCCTCTGGTGAGTTGGCTTGTCAGACAGGTTTCATACCTGGGCACCAGGAGAATGCGCAGCTCTGGCCTGTTGCAAAGCTGGAAAAAACAAACGGGGGCCTTATACCCACTGAGGAGCCATTACTTGCCACAGAGCACAACACCTGGCCCTGACTTGAGGATTCGTTATTCACATAGGTGGATCTCAGTGGCCTATTTGGCAGTTACCAACACAAGTTACACTCAGCAGCTTCAGCTCAGGTCTAGCTCTGAATTATTCTGCCAATTTCCCCTTGTTAGTGAGTTTTATAACCTTGCTAAATCTAAAATTGTTACGGGAACAAAACAACTTCAGGTCTATTCTTGTTTGTTTGCTTGCTTGTTTTGTTTTTTGAGATGGTCCCTAGCTGGCTTGGAATTTGATATGTAGACCAGGCTGGCCTTGATCTCACAGATATCCATGTACCTCTGCCTCCTGAGTGCTAGAATTGAAGGCCTGCACAGCCACACCTTGCCAGGCCTGCTCCTTTTTGTTGCTCTTTTATTCGTTACACTAGAGGAAGAGAGAAGGTCTGGCATGAGAACTTGCCTAGTATGCACAAGGCCCTGGATCTGACCTCCAGTTATCCACCCCCACTCCCAATAAAAAACAGAGAAAGAGAAGGAGCAAGAATGTTTAAAGATAAAGTGAGAAGCCGGGCGTGGTAGCACATGTCTTTAACCCCAGCACTTGGGAGGCAGAGGCAGGTGGATCTCTATGAGTTCGAGACCTGGTCTACATAGCGAGCTCCAGCCCAGCTGGGGCTACAGGGAGACCCTGTCTCAAAACAAACAAACAAACAAACAAACAAACAAACAAAGAAACAAACAACAAAAAAGATAAAGTGAGAAATACAACTGCTTTTACTGAAAATAATAAAAAGTTATTTGAAAACTGACCACTAACAGAAACATCTCAAAGGAATTTTGTATTTATTATTCATACATGAGTACTTTATGTTGTTGATGCAAAAACACAACTCTCTCACCTCAAAAGGGATAAGAGATAGTTTATTCTGGAGCCAAATATGAGTGACCATGGTCTGGGAATACAGATTCAGGTTACCTCAAATTCCATGTTCCAGCGTGGTAACAGTTACATTATATTTTTATAGTAACAGAACAAAGAAGAGCCATAAATCAAGACTCCTTTCAACTACATTGGTGGATACATTCCATAGGCAGGTTGTAGCAAAGCGTGGAAGTTTCTACTATTGGTCTCAGAAGTTATCTGATAACATTCTTAGTTTTTTGTTTGGTGAGACCTGGTGGTCTGCAAAGTTAATATATTTTATTAGTCACAAGAACACTAATTCAGAAACAGAGGTAGGCAAGGTGTGGCTATTTACGGGGCTAAAGATATCCCCAGATAATCTGTGAATAAGCTCTGGATCTGCGACATTCCAGACTTTCCACAATCTCTGGAGTGTTAATTGGTTGGTGAGCCTTGCAGGAAATTCAGTCCAAGATGCAGGAGTTCTTTCTGAGAATTAATTGTCTTTCACAATGTCGTTTTGACCCCTCCCTCTCCCCCTCCAACTGCTCCTGTCCCCCCCCCCCCCTCCCATTCAATTTCTTGTTCTGTTCTTCATTATTTTATATATATATATATATATGTTTTGTCATGTTATGGTAGTCTAAAGATGAAGCCAACAGTAAGAGACCAAGCAGCAAGACAAAAACATCCAGGGAAATGTAGTATTTCCTCCCGTATGAGACCATATAAATCCTTTAAAATACCTTGTTAGCACATTTTGAGTTGAGACTTATTTATTTGCAATTAAAAGCATTCTAATAGATATGTAGTAAAAGCCAATTATCTATAACATTATGGGCAAGTTGTTGATTTTTATTTGTTATATTATTGTTAACATTATTATTATTTGGTTTTAAGGGACAGAGTAGCCCAGGATGGCCCCAAACTCACTATATAGCAGAAGTTGGCCTTGAACTCCTGTTAATCCTGCCTGTACCTCCTGAGTGCTGGAATTACACCACAATGCAAAACACGAAAGAGACTCTCTCATGTTACTGAAAGATCTCCACTGACACTTTGGGGACAATCACTCTGGAATGAACACTTCTTCCATCAAGGAGGCTATAGCAAGGATAATTCTGGAACAATGTAATTGTGGTTGTGAACTGTCCATTTCTAATGATAGAACTTAACCTTAGACATCTGTAAAGTAGAGTGTTATCCTTGTATTCGGAGAGACTAACAGTCAGTCAGGAAGCCAGAATCTCTAAACTCTAGCTTCAAGCCTCCATCCCAGTTTCATGAATTCCCAAGACAAGTGTAAACTTTTACAACAAGCTGGGGCTTGGTCCCTAATCTCTGAAGTTATTTCCTAGCAAACCAAACAATGAACTTTTTCCCTTTCACCTCAACCCATTCCTGATCACAGCTTTATTTATGATTCTTAAGATTCCAGGCATACTAATGAGCTCACATATATAGTACACTTCCTGCAAGTTCTTTGAATCCTCTCTCAAGATATAACACATTTTCAATGCAAATTAAGTCCTTAAATGGGCAGTGTTCATATGTGATTCCAAGTTGTTACCTTACTGGGAGATCTGAATTTTAAATTATGTTTTTCCATTCTTTGAATACTTCTGTGAGCTGTAGGTTTTTTGGTATTAATAAACTTTAATTAAAACAATATTCCAAAGATGAAGTAGGAGAAATTAAGAAAAAAATACACATACCAAAATCCAAGAGGAGGGACTTGATCCTTTATGTTCATACTGACCTATTTATACTTCACACAATAAATCCTCTTAAGGGACCCAAATTATGTGGAGTAATTAAATGTTCCTGAATCTCTATCCTACCTGAAATCAGCACACCTCTTTTTGAAGACTGAGGGAGAATGAGGGAGAAAGGAGTTTCCAGCATCCTCTGAAGGCCTAAGCCAATAAACAAAGGGGATTTGAACATGGTTCCACACTAGACTGAACACTGGATCCACAGCTATCACCTCACTCTGGCTACTCCCCAACCCATAGGAGGAACCAGAATCACAGTGAGATAGTGGGCTTCTACCTGGAAGTGACTGCACGAGGGAATATTTTTCAGACAGTTCAGACTTCTCAGAGATGGAATGTGCTGGCTTCCAAGTAAGGAACTGCCCCATGATCAGTTTTCAAGAAGTAGATGGGGGTCCACTTGCCAGGAAGTTCTAGAAAAGATTCCTCCATATGGCAAGATGTTGGAACTCTAAGCTGCTTTCAACATGGAGATTCTACAATTCCCAGATCACTGGCAAGCAGAGTGCTGCGTCTCCTTCTCTCTCTGCTTCTTTTCAGGTGGGTGTCCACAACCCACCTGCCACTGGAAGGCTGAGATCTGAAACTGCTCGTTGGCCTTAGGCAGATGGCATAAGACACTTTATGTGGAAGATTAAGGATTTCACTGCACTTCAGCAACAAAACCTGCTGAGAGGAAAAGAAATACACTGGATTAAGGGGAAGTGAGGGAGCTTGTCCAGTGTTGCTAAGAGATTAGTGACTGCAGCCAGGCTGAGCACACGTGTAAGTCCAGGACCAAAGTAACCACATTCCTCACCTATTTGTATATACAGTTTTAGTAGCTGTATGAGTACGTACAGCCACTATTTATGTAGGAATTAGACCAAATTCCTATGAATTTTAAAATGCAAATTCAACCCCCAAAATATTTTATTTTGCTTTCTAAAATTTATCCTTATTAAGAAAAACAGAAATCAAATGACTCAGGAGCATTATGACCCCAATGAGTCAAACAGACCATTCTTTGTCTTCTTGAGATTCCTGGGTAAAGTTAGAGGCCAACAGCCCTGCACAACTAATACAAGGAAGAGGTACAGACCTCTATTACCAGCTGCCTCCTGATGATAGGGGATCTGTGCCCTGAACCAGTCTACCATTCACCTGGCAATTTATCATTTATTTTCTGGATTATTCCCTTTCTTGAGATTCCAACATAATGGCTTAATTGTATTTGCACCCCTCTGGAAGATTGTTCATGAGCTACCATGTCCCCTGGCACTTAAAATCACAGTCTTCATATAATTTTTTTTTATTTTGGTCTTTTTGAGGCAGGGTCTCCCTGTATCTCCAGCTGCCTAGAATTCACACTGTAGGCCAGGCTGGACTCGAATTCATAGAGGATCTGCCTGCCTCTGCCTGCGGAGTGCTGGGATTAAAGGTGTGTGCTACCACGCCTGGCTGATACATATTTTTTAATGTGTAAGAGCAATGCCTGGTATTCTTTTAATAATTTTTTTGCACTTGGAATAAAAAAAGTAAACACTGCTTTTACACCATCTGTTTAAAGCTGTTAGCTCTTTTAAACACAGGCACGAATTAAATTGCAAATGGGCCTTATCCCAAACTTATATGTTCATTTTTTGTAATTCTGTAAAAATAATATACATATTTGTTATGTTTCCAAATCAAACTACACAAAGCTCAAATCACCCCAACAAGAATATGGAATAGTTGATCCCATAAACAACCATGAAGCCAAATGCTTACAAAGGCATTACCATGGAAAGTGAAGTGATGTTGGTGAAAGTGTCCTCCACAGTCCTCAACATTGCCCACCTGCCCTGCTCTGGCCAGAGGATTCCTCCTTCAGGTCTCTAAGGTTCTATGATTCTGGATCTAGACTCTATCAGAACAGCCTGTGAGACTAAGCAAATGAATTGTTAAGCCTAAAATCACTGGATTTACTTGGAATTAAAAGTGACAAAGGAGGATTATCGGGCCTACTGTGGGCTTCCACATGTTGTGGTGGAGGACCTGCAAGAGGTCCTTTGTGCTTCATTTCTCTTGCTGCTGCTGCGAGGGAAGGAAAGGATAAGCTGTGGAGTTCTTAGAGTTGACTCCCACTCCCAGCCTTCAAAGACTGAGATGGAAAGTGATGAGAATTGAGGAAGCTGTGGTTAGGGATTGTCTCTGCACAGACAGAAAATGTCTCCCTGCAAACCCTGCTAGCCCCCAGTATTTCCACAGCCACACCCTTACATGATAGAGTAAGATTTCAGAGATCAGTTTGGGTTTTAGAAATCCCAAAAAGCAGCAGAAAGAAATGGAAAAAGAGGAAGGGAAAGCATTAACAGAGGTGGAATACCATGCAAAGAAGAGACTTACTTAAATCATACCAAAACCCAAACTGAGGCCCTCAATCCATGGTCCAATTACATGAATGCCATTTTATTTTCTAAGAAAGGTATGTTTTAAAACTGAAATGATGAAATCCAGATGTAGGTTTTTTTTTTTTCCCCCTGTGGGTAATTTCATTCTGTACGTATCAATTTTATAATGTTAAATGTACAGGCCCTTGGAAAAGTTTTGTTCCTTTTTACTACAGGAAGCTAGAGGAAAGACTCAAATGCCCAAGGCTTTGTTCCAACAATCTTTTCCTTAACTCCCTATTTCTCTTGTCTTTGTGTGTATGTTGTGTGTGTATGTTCCTGTGTGTGATTACAAACGTTCGTGTCACAGCCTGTGTGTGGAAGTCAGGACACCGTCAGGTGTTGAGCCTTACCTTCTACCTTGTTTGAGACATGGTTTCTTACTGTTTATCCCTAGTCAACTACTCCAGGGTACCTGACCTGGGAGTTTGCAGGGATTCTCCTGCCTCTGCCTCCCATCCTTCCATAGGATACAGTTGGGCACAACCCTATCGGCTTTATTGTGGGATCTGAACTCATGTCTTCACAATTGTGAGTGTGGCAGAAACACTTTACCTACTGGCCATCTCCGCAGCCCATTAACTCACTTCTATTTTCTACCTACAAGGTGCAGAGATGTGTGAAAATTGGTTGTACCTATGGATTTCAAGGAAATGTAAAATACGTGATTGTAGGAATCGTTGCCTATGACACTGTTATCAGTCTAGGGGGTATTGTTGGGTTTGTTTTCTCAGCCAATTGAAGAATTAAAAGGCAGGAAAAAAAATCTCAGACCAGCAGAAAATGGCAGACAAACTTTTATTGAAAGATAATCATATCCACCTCTCACACAAACAAAAAATAGCACACACACTTATATTGAAAGAAAAACATATACACACACATACACACACACACACACACACACACACACACACACACACACACACACACACACACAGAGGTATCAGAAAGCTGAGGCTCTCCACAAATGGAGAAGGGAATCCAGAAACCAAAATCCAACATTCTCTGGGAAAGGACCTGAGTTTTAAGGATTTTAGTGGCTTCCCCTCCCCAAATTTTGGATTGATCAACTTAAAGGAAGAGAAGGCTGATAGGTCACAGCTCTGAGCTGAGTTATCTAGGACTATGTGACTCTAAGCAGGTCAGTTGAAGGCATCTTGTTGGAGGTAAAAAACAAGGCCTTCCTGCCAGGCAAGGAAAAAGTACGAAGTGTGCCATCTTTATTATTATCAGTGACCCTGTTTGCTTATGAAGGATTTAGTCCCTTATAGAATTATGGAGAGAGGAGAGGGGAGTGGGGCAAAAAAAGCCATTCTGAATATCAAGACAACCTTTCCCTGGGCCTTCAAGTGTAGCCTAAGCTGGAAGAGAGAAAATGCCAGACCAGGATTAGAACTGTTCTCTAGTATGTCAAGAAGTTGTCAGCCCCTATCCAAATCACTAGAGACCAACCCCAGTTATGTATTATTTTACTTTCTTCCACAAGTATGGTCTCAAGTATGCTTTTGAAGCCAGACGAATGTTAGTAAACAGCAAAATTATTAATAAAAATCATCTTGATTTACAAATCCTATGTGAAGACTTGAGAAATGCAATCCTTGGGTTTCTATATCATTTACTTTGCCCAGTTCTCCATTAAAATCAAATTTCATTAATAACAATGAAAAGAACAATAGAAATGATTCAGAAAACTTAAAGATGGAGTATTTAAAGCCACGTATAGTGGCTCCATCTTCTAATTACAACCTGGGTTTTAACGATAGGCATTTCAATTTTTTCAAGTTTTCTTCAGAATACGTTATTGGTTGGAGTGTCCTTTCCGGGCAGCTCGGTTGGTGTGAGCCTCTTTTCCCGCACGCAGCCCAGCCAGTCTCTGATTCTTCCAGACCGCTGGGCTTGCCTGAGACACCTCTCCACAGTCTTGGGGAGGGGGTGGGCCTAGGGAACCTGACCAACTTTAGGGACTTCCTGAAGCTATTCAGTTGTTTACTTTCGGACTTTAATGTGTTTCCCTGTAGGATGGGATGTTTCACCTCCTCAAAACATCCTGTTCTTTACCCAGCTTTGTTCTGAGATGGAAGGTTTTATCCGAAGGAAACTGCAGCACAGTTATATTATGGAACAGTGCTCCTCCATCACAATGACACACGGTCATGCCAGACAGCAAACTTCCATCTTCCGCACATGCGGTTTTCGTGTTTAAGTTAGTGGCGTAGTCAGGAACAAGAGAAAGGGGCAACTCTAAATACCCAGCTCCAGCTAATTTTTAAAATCCTCAACCAGCAGGTTTGGGATTGTTACAGGCAGGTTTTGGAAGCTGCAAAATGCAAAAGTATAAAACTGTCCACGGGCAGTGTCCACTTTGATTATTTGAAGCTGGGTATATGAAACTAAGCTCCCAACAGGAGAGGCAAAGGAATAGGCTTAACTCAAGTTCCTGGCCGGCAGAGAGGAGGTGGGTGTTACAGGGATGGGGTTTTGAAGATGGAGACCGGGACGGATGAACCTTCTCTGGGTAGAGAGGATATTCGGTATTAAGAGGGCTTCACTGAAACCCTATAATAACCAGACAACTGGTGTCCAGGGCTCCGGGTGGAAAGCGGGAAGCAGGAAGTAGAAAGGCTCCAGCTCTTTTGCTGGGTCGGCGCAGGCATTTAATTTCTGCAAACGTCTATCGGGACACGGTGTGAAGCTCTGGGCTCCCAAGCCGAGCAAGACGAGGTGTCGTCCTTGAAGAACTCACAGCTCAGCCAAATGGCTCGAACATTTCGCTTAGGCTCTGATAACTTCTATCCTACGAGCTGCCAAGGGAGAGTCGCTTCTAATTCCATCCACACTTCTCCAGGGATTTCAAAACACAGACAGGGCGACCCAGGACCGGGAGGGGCCGCCGCCAGACCCGGAGCGCCAGAGCCGGCTGCGCGGTGCCGTCCCCCGCGTCCAGCGCTCGGCTCTGCCCGGAGGGCTGGCGGCTGACGGCCGGGCTCCGGGGGCGGAGGTCGGGCTCCGGGCCACACGGC